CGGCTTCGATACGCTCGTGAGTCGAGTCAGTTCTGTGTTACCTGTTAGATAGTGAGAAAAACGCCAAAGAGGAATAGGAGAATATCAAACGTGAGTTTTGGGGCCTAAGTAATTGATTTACTTTTCCGAGCCAGTTTCGAATGGTTTCGGCTTCCTCGTGTCGGCCTTCCGCCACTCACAGGGTTGTGATATAATAGAATAATTCTCTGGGTTATATTTTAGTAACTTGGAGGTGTTGATCGTTCCACCAATAATTTATATATTTAGGGTTAATTAGGGCCAGTACGATTTTTCCCCCCTTTTTGGGTGGTTTAGAGGACGTTTTATTGCTGTTGAAAACGGTTGCATACTTCCGAACGGAGAATTCTCCATTCGGCTATTTCTCTCGCTCCCGTGGCAGAGAGCCTTCCCTCTCCCTCTACGAGACATTCATGTAGAGCGGCTCAAGCATTCCCCATGAATGCTTCCCCCTCACGTCACCCCACTAACACCCATCCGCACCTACAAGCTGCGGCTCTCGCTTCCCGCACGTAATCCGTCGTTTAGAATTCCCTCCGGTTGTTAATCAACGCGGACTGGCTTCCAATGATCCAAAATTGATAATTTTGGTATCGTTGGCTTCTCTAGACTTTTCTGAACATATTTGCTCTGGGTCTTTCGGATCTTACTCTACCGATTTTCTGCTACGGCGAGTTTAGTTTTAGCGAATTTTCATTTTCCGCAGTACGTTATACGTACATCGCTGGGTTTATCTCCTCTCTCTCCCACTCTCACGGTAGTCGATACACCTCTCCTCCCGATTCTTGGAATTCACGAGCATTTAGGGATTAGCGCATTATATTCGGATATTGCCACTTGAGGAATTTGATGATGTCAACTTTACAACAGAGTTAATCGATAATTGATTATTTTCGGGACCAGATATTTCAAGTTAGTTTTATTATTTTTGATTGGTTGACAGAATACTGGTTATTATTGCAAATCGTCCTTTTCTTTCTGTTGAAATTAAAATGTAAAAATTCTGTAAATTATTTAATTTTGAAAACTTCAATAGTGAAATAAGTAAGGACAATGTCGATTTCTTCATTTTTTTGTAGTTTTTGACCACCCAATAATCCGTCTTCACCTGAAATCCACTCCTCTCTCCACAACCTAGCACACTGAACGAATCGAGGACCGTTACCTTTCCCCAAAAATCTAGTTCTCTTCGTTTTTGGTTTGTCGTGTTTGGGACTCGAAATTCGTGTACTTCCGGTTTGATAATTCCGGCTAAAAATTATCTGGCGCCGATTATTCGTTTTATTTTGAGTTAATTAGATTTAGGGGAAGAAGAGCGAAGGTAATAGGCATTTTTAATCCCCATGCAAAAATGTCACGTTACAAAACTTGGAAATTCAGTGAATTTCAATGTTTGAAATGAGGTAGGAATCATCGATGTGGATTCAACGAATTCAATGGAATCGCATTGAGTCATGAAACCACTGATCATCAGGTTTCAAGCCAATTAAATCATGAATTCAATGAACTAATTGTAATTACTCGTGTTGTTGGGTCTTAAGCAGTGCAGTTAGTATGAACCAAAAAACTCCACAATTTGAAAATTCACGGATGGTATAGGAATTTAAAAATAAAAAATATATATAAATTACAACGCGAAAATAAATGTGCCTCACTAACGTCTGAGGAATTACGGAGGAATTGCGAATGACTGCAAAGCCGAATAAAATTTCATCTAAGAATTATAATATTTTTGGCCACTTTTGTAAACTCAACAAAATAGCAGTGACAATGTCAAACTGCTGAAGTTATGACCGAAAAAACTATCATGTCATATGACGAAAAAAAATGTCACTCATTTTCACATTCCTATTCTTAAACCTCAGATAGAACTTCCAAGAAAACGCAAACGATTCATTTGGCGAGGGCAGCGAAGATCTATACCGGAGTTTCACGTTGTTTTCACGGAATTTAAATTATGTGGACTCTCGATATAGTCGATATAGCATTCGTTATGGTCGCATCTAGAATAGAAGACATCAAAACAAATATTTTGAAGAAAAAACTGAAATTGGTTGAGTAGCTTTTGGTGAGAAATCAAGCGGCCCTATAAGCCAATGCGTTCGAATGTCAATGAATATTGAAAGTAAATAATAATAACAAGACTCGAATGTATCCTGGTGAGAAGGAAAACGTGGATGCATCCGAGTGTTGTTATTATTGTGTATGTCCAATATTTATTGACATTCGAATGCATTGGCTCATAGGGCCCCTTGATTTCTCCCCTTTTTCCAAATTTAGTGATCACTCGGCCACTGTTTTTTAAACATCAATCTTTCGTCACTCAAGCGCTTCTCTCACTCCATCACCTACAGGATCCGAAACGTAAACACTTCAGTGTTTTCGGCAAGAATTTCTTTGAGGCGTTATTGTCGCGATTGCGCGGTAGGGGTAGGAAAATACAATCGCATTCTCAGAATTGGCTTCGCCTATTGCACCATATGTGCAACTGTAATGAGAGTCTCCTGTAGACTTTCAGTAGCAACTTATCAACAATTCACCAAGAGAATTCAATAAGATTTTCATCTCCATTTGCAATTCAATTTCTAGAATAAATTCCACTATTCAAACTTTATCCAATGCTTCACATTCATTGAATTTGCTAAAAAAAAATTGTAGGCGGCTGTATCGTTGATACAGCTGGAATTGTACGTGGGTACGTCCATGGTCTTATGAATGGTCTTTGGAATGGTCCATGGTCTTTGGAATTTTCTAGAAACTCCTTGAAGTTTTTCGAAATTTCAAGAAACTTCTCGAATTACCTCGAAATATTCCAAATTTTCTAGAATTCCGATGGATGGCACTGCACATAAGGACCGTTTCCCAAAATGACCCCCCATATTGAAATCATAGATGTATCCACGTCAAAAATCCATTCATTCCTATTTCGCAAGTAAAGTTGTAAATTTGATAATGAATGTATCCTGCCTACGCTGAGCATAGTTCGCAGATCAGTCCATGCTTATCAACGCAAAGTTTCTTGGCTTTATCTAACAGTGTAAATAGACAGGAGAGCCTGTCTCAAACAGTGCTTGTCCAAGTTTTTCATAACTAAGGGAGAGAATGCAAACAAGTTCGTCACTTTTACACTGAGAGAAAAATCTGCGAAAATGTACATCATGTTTATTTAAGGGAAGCAAATTACTTTCAATGGCTTAAATCTCAGAATATTTGCGCTTCATGGAACTCGAATAAATTCGCATTTATCACTATCGATCCGCAATACATCATGAATGTATTACATATCGAAACATTGGAAGTGCATAAAAAAAATCATTAGAACCACAAATACTTGAAGAGTGACGATTCTTCTACACGATTTGAGTGAGTTTATTTTCAACAAAATCGTACTAGCTCTCAAGCGATTGAAGTAAAATTACTTGTCTCGTGTAAATGTGTTTCACATATTAGAATTTTTTTTCTTATTGTTAGTGATGCCGTCGAGACTACACGATAAATTTTTCGGATAGATCATCACTGTCCGAAAAAACATCAAAAGTTTTGGAATCGTTGCAATCTCGAAAGACATTGGGTTGGTGCATCACGTCACGAGTTTTTGAGCACTTATTTTGCCTAGGTCTCGACTTTTTCGTTTTTTCCTGTTTCAGAAAAAACTGAAAAAGTCGAGACCCAAGCAAGATAAGTCCTCTCAAAATCGTGACGAGATTCACCGACACCATGTTTTTTGAGATGGCGACGATTCCAAAACTTTCGATGTGTTTCTGACCGTAACGATCTGTCCAAAAATTTTATCGTGTAGTCTCGATAACATCACTACTTATTGTACAAATGCATAACAGGTGGCTTTGCACTCTAATAAAATTTCCAAATTCACGTTATTATAGTCAGGAATTTTTCCACCTGCATCGTTGCTCAACTCTGGAGTAAAAAATGTTGAAATTGAAAATATTCCCATCCTATTATATCGTATCCTAAAGGTAACAACAATTAATCGATTCTCTCGAAACAGAATCGAAATTTCGAGAGAGTGAGGCGTTAACCCTTCTGAACTGGCGTAATGAGCACGGCGCCGCCTTTTTTCGTTTTTCGCAACTGGCAGTCACAAGTTTGGTTTAAAAAATCTCGAAAAATTAGAATGCCTATTTAAAACCTTTTGAAATCAGATGGTGAGATTTTTATTCTCCAAAAATCCGTATATACCTCGTGAAAAAATAATTTAGTGAGCGCGGCACGCAAAAACGGCGTCACGCCGCCCGGAGCCAATGGATACATGCAGTCGATTTCTAGCCACGCTGTTGCCACGATGTGTACGCCAGTACCCCCACCCAGGCAGTTGTATCCAACATGCCGGTTTGAACACGTGAGACGTCCATTTCCAACAGACGTACGAATTTCGACTCTCAAATTTTTCATCCAAAATTATCACGAAGTTCTGGGAGAAGTAGTGTTTTATGGAAATGTTATTCACGCTGTGAATACTATAGTAAGCAGTGAATGGGTTCCTTTGAAATGAATCGAGTCGGCTAGTGTGTGATAACCTTGAGTCATCCAGTTATTTTCTCGTTTACTGTTCGCTGTTTATAGAACTAAAATCTAAAAGAATGCGAGGGTTAGTTATTGGGAAATATAGGACACATGTGGAGTAACCTGACTTTCATAAAGTTTCGAATGAGCAGTTTGAGGTTATCAACAAGAGGTTTGTACTATTTTTTTCTAGTGGGACGTACGTGAAGTCAAATGGACACTCCTGGCTTGTTCTTGAATTTTATTCACATATTCAATCTTCAATAGAACAGAATAATTTTTTGTTATAAAATTGTTCCTCTTTTTGATAAGTACAGACTGACATAAATTAATAATTTTGTTCCTGAGTTATAAACATTGGAAAATATGTCAAAAGTGTTCATTTTGCCTCACTCACTCCTCTAAATCTATCGACGAATATAAATAAAAACGGTACAGTGATTTTTTTGTAGTCTAAAATGGCGGAAAGACAACAAAAAGCCTGGGCAGTGGACAGTGAGGATGAAAATACTGAGGAATCTCGTCAGGCAGAAGATACAGATTATTCTGACGAGGAGGCTGAATCTGGACCCGATGACGAGGGCGAATCTCCATCCAATTCTGATGCAGAATCCTCTTCCAATTCCTCAAAAGTTCCTCCATTCTACCTTGGGAAAGACAAAACGACGAAGTGGTCGACAAAATTTCCTGATGCCAATAAAACTGAGAAACGCAATGTTTTTACTGAGACTGCTGGAGTAAAAAGACCTGCGAAAGGGGCCAAAACGGAAATCGAGGCCTGGCAGCTGTACTTCTCTGATGACATTATTCAAAAAATAGTTGACCACATCAATGTCAAATTGAGAGTTCTAAGAGGTAATTGTCAACGTCCAAGGAGCTGTTCGGACACTGACGTGGAAGAGATGAAAGCTCTCTTTGGATTACTTCATTATGCCGGTACCTTGAAGGTAGCACACATCCACACAAGGGATTTATGGGCCACAGACGGCACGGCCCCTTCAATTTTCAGATGTGTGATGAGTGAATCTCGTTTCTGTTTGCTACTTCGTGCTTTACGTTTCGATGATGCTGAGTCTAGAGAATCTCGGAGGAAGACTGATAAACTTGCACCAATCCGAGAGATCTGGAAAGAGATGGTCCACAAATTCAAAAAAATGTACTGCCCAGGAGAACTCATTACGTTGGATGAGATGATGTTCGGGTTCAAGGGACGATGCAGTTTTAGACAATATTTACCCCTCAAACCAAACAGTTATGGATTGAAAGTTTTTGCGGTTCTGGATGCTACGACGTATTATACATGTAACGCTGAAATTTACCTAGGTAAACAGACACCAGGACGCCATGCAGTTGACAACAGACCGAGTGCAGTAGTGCCAAGATTGACGAGGCCCTACCTCAATAACGGGAGGAATATCACAACAGACAATTGGTTTAGCTCAGTACCTACTGTTGATGATCTCAAGGACAATTTTGACACAACGTGCGTGGCGACTTTGAAGAAGAACAAGAGAGAGATTCCACCTGAATTTGTAACACACAAAGGTCGTTCAGTCAATTCAACACTAGCTGGTTATAACAAAGGCAAAGTATTGATATCGTATGTTCCCAAAAAGAGTAAAATTGTAGTTCTTCTGTCATCTATGCATACATCAGCGGCCATTGATCCAGCGTCAGGAGCGAAGAAGAAGCCAGAAATTATCACTTTTTACAACTCGACAAAGGGAGGGGTTGACACAACTGATCACTTGAGATCCAAGTACAGCATAGTTAGATATTGTTGCAAATGGCCCCTCACTGTATTTTTTGGTATCATGGATATCGTGGGAATTAATTCGCAGATCGTTTTCGCGGAGCACACTGGGGTTAAAGTACCACACAAACAGTATTTGAAGACCATTGCTAAAAATTTAAGTGTTCCATGGATGCTCAGACGTTTGAAGATACCAAATTTAAGAATTGATCTACGAAGTTCAATTAAGAAATACGCTGGTCTCAATACAGACATTGAAAGCTCCTTGAACGAAGAGAGAGGCAGGTGTTATTAGTGTCCCTTGAAGTTGAGTCGTAAAACCACATCGAGATGTGTTTCTTGTTTCCACCTCATTTGTGGAATTGAGCATACTCGTAAAATATGTGAAAATTGTTTTGAGGATCGAGATCTAGCTGAGGATTGAACACGAAGAGACATATTCATCGAAAATCAATAACCATTTGGTGAAACCCCACAACTGGTTGTTGAAGTTGATCAACTAGACCTATGGAAAATTTAATAGAAGAAAGTCATTGAATTTACGATGACACGTTCAAGAAAAAGATTTAGCTCCAGGAGCGTGTTTTTTTTCTGATCTTGAGGTGGTTCGTGAGGGAGATAAAGGTTTAGTTAACAAGATAATTCGTGTTTATTGTCTTAATCTATCTTATGTTTTTCACAATGCATTTATGGAGAGTTAAGTTTTTGAGTTTAATAATAATTTTCTCATGTGATGGGAAAGAAGAATTTAAATGAAAGACGCAATTTTAATAAGATTTTCTTTAAAGTCGAATAGAATGAATTCGAATCACTAGAATTTTCACAATTCTCACAGGTCGAAATTATTTTATTCGAGTCAGTGCATAATAAGGTGTTGATATTATAGATGAGTGAATATTTTAGTGAGAGATGGATACTTGCGTGAATAATTCGCAAAGAGAAAAAATCAACAATGTTATGATTATCGGGGTTGTTTCATGATTGTTCAAATATATCCTATAAGTTATTGGAAATGTAGTGTTAAGAAAATGGTTCAGTTCTCCAGGTTTACGTTGAAGATTTTCAAGCATAATTTTCTTCAAAAAATTGTGTTCGTATGTCAGAAAATTCAGAGGAAGAAGAAGAAAAATTTAACCTCAATGACTGAATGGTGATTAATACATATAGAGTCAATTTGACTTGGATTGGTTCAACGTTTTGAGGACAGGGTTCATGTTTTATTGTTCATAGTCAATATTGCATGTGATGCAGAGATAACCGATTAGTATGTAATTTTCTAATGAAGCATTCCAAAGTGGAAAACTAGGTGTAAGTCGCTGTTGATTGTTCAAATGTTTTGTATTGAGGATTTTTAATTTTATAAAAAGTTGATGGTATGGATGTGAGAGGACCGTAAAAGAGAAGTACCTGAAAAACTAGTATTCTTCAAATTTTCTTATTAGTGTTTCATGGGCAGAAGATACATTCATATAAAAACCTGGATATTCTCAGAGAAAAAATATGAGCCTTGAAAAGTTTTCGTTCCGTATATGTTGTGCTTAGTTTTTAAAATACTGACGATATCATTCTTGAAATGAAAAAAAATGTTCAAATGATAGACAAATATTGTTGTTATTGAAAAAAGCAATAAAGATAATAGAAGGTGAAGGCATGTGAAAATGTTTTAATTTCCGTATTTTGGTTCCAATGAGAAAGAAGTCTCTGAGTCCATGATTCGAATCATCATGAATCACCGCGCTCGGACGTGGCAATACCGCGTTCACTGTAACACGGGCGGCACCGTGCCTACCGAGCCAGTGGACTCGACCGGCGGCCGAACGCCTGTTTAGGAGGGTTAATTGAGCCTTCCAAGCTTGGGTGCAACATTGGAATTCATGAAGTAAATATTATTAGAGAGTCTCATGGTTTCGAAATTGAATTTATTTTTTCCAACCTTACGAGAATCTCGTACATTTCTGAAACAAGAACAAGGCCATTCTGAAGTGGTGGCAGTGCAAATATATCCAAATTACAGCAACACAGAGCAATGAAATTAGCACATTCAGCAAAGTTTTAATCTACACACTGTTTGATAATTTTTTACTGCCGTTTCCTGGTAATTTTCCGTCGATATTTCTTTCTCATTGTAAAGTGAAAGTGAATCAGTAGAGACTTCAATGAAAAAAAGAAAGAAATTGGAATTTTTTAGTATTTAGGGATCGGTAGAAGTGTGTAAGACTGTTGTTAACCACAGTCTGCAGGGTGGAGTCGTGGCATTTGAAGAGACCACCTTCATCGCGAAGTAATGGCTAACTTCTAACTTATTCGATGTATTTGAATAATTTTCTGTTGTTCAATGAAGTTAATCATATCTTGAGTTCAGCCCTTGACATGAATCCTACATGCATGGGATTTTTCTTAATTTTAAATGGAATTTTTCTGTCTTTTCAGTGTCATCACTCCGGAGCATCAGTCCATTTAAATTATCAAGCAACAAGAATTGTTTTGGAATCATGAATACAGAGAAATAAACGTTTTGAATTTCAGTGACATTTCACCGATTTTCAGGAACATGTCACGGATTTCCTTGGACATGTCACCGACTTTCAGGATTCAATTCCCAATCATCAATGATGATACTGGATACAGTAGAGAGACCCTGATTATCAATAATTTTTATCACTAGAATTTGGTGATCGATTTCTAAAAATTCAAGACGGATTCCTGAAAATCAGTGACATTACTTTGGAAATTAGTGATAATGTCACTAAAAATTGGTGAACAAAGTCTAAATTTCAGAATTTCCCACTCACTGAATTTCACAATCGCAAATCGCTAATAATTGGCGAAAAAATTCCTCGAAATCAGTGACATGTCCCTGAAAATCAAAACTATTTTCGATTCGATGGAAGTTTACTGGTGACGATCGCCTGCCCAATCTTTTCAAAAACTAAAGAAGATTCTTCGCAGGGAAAGGTAATCGTAGAGCGAAATGTAATTCAATGAAAAAATACGTGTTTATAAAGCATATTTTATGATTCGTTCGATTAAAGAAGCTAATCTATGGATACAACAATTATCTTCTTGTACACACTGAGAAAAATCCGGAGGCTATTTCAAAGTCGCGCTCGACATCGACAAAAATTTAAAAGCGCCGAATTTATTTCAAAGTCGCGCTCTTGAATCGAGAGCGGCACCGTTGATTCATAATTTTCGGTGCTTGGGGTCCTATTTTCCGCCGTCAAAAAGCCGCGCTCTTAATTCAATATCGCCGGGATTCAGTTCAATGTTGACGCGAATTATTCAAGCGTAGGAACCTTTGATTTAAAGTTCCTCACGCTCTTGATTTATACGAATCAAAATTGAAGTCTAAGGCAATTGATTCAATGTCTCACGTCGATGAATTGTGAGCATGACGTACGATTCGAGGTGAGAAAAATGTATGCATTTCACAGGTATGTACATTTCCTGAGTCAAAATTTTACCGGGTCTCCGACGTAGTTTCAACGTTTTGAACCTACATTGCTTTGATGTTCAAATTCTCCGCCGAATTTTTACCGTACTTTCAACTTATCTCAACGTGAAGGCCCATAGACGTTGAAAAACACTCAATATCCACCGTATATTAAACGTACTCTCAACGTTAATGACGTTTGTTTTCTGTTAACGTACGTTGTAAGTTTCGACGTCCACATTTGATTGTATCAAGGTCATTATGGACGATAATTAAAAAATTCATTACCGTGTTAAAGACTCACGTAACTACATTATTAGTGTTAGTACATTTATAACATTAGTTCGAAGTTCAAATAATCGTGCGTCTGAAGGGTGAGTTATGTCCAAGGGTTAGAAGGGTTAGTTGAGTATAAGGGTCAAATGAGTATAAGAGTGAGTTGAGTCCAAAAGATTACGCGAATCTAAGGGTCAGATAAGTGAAAGCCTCAGTTGAGATTGAATGTCAGTTGAGTTTAAAGATGAGTTGAGCCTAAGGGTCAAAAGAGTACGAAGGGTCAGGCGAATCCAAGGGTTTGATTTGTAAGGGTCAGATAATTAAAAACCTCAGTTGAGTTCAACTGTCAGTTGAATTTAAGGGCCAGTTGTGTATAAGGGTCAGTTGAGTGTATGGGTCAGATGAGTGCGGAGGCCCTATTGCACCTGAGACTCAGATGAGTCTAAGACGAGAATAAGGGTCAAATGAGTCTGAGGGTCAGATCGATTCTGAGGATCAGGTGAGCCAAAGGTCATCTGACTTTTAGATTGAACTGACCCTTAAACTCAACTCAGCCTTTTACTCATCTGACCTTTAGATTCGCCTGACCCTTCGTACTCTTTTGACCCTTAGACTCAACTGACTCATAGATTCGCGTGATCCTTCACACTCAACTGACCCTTCAATCCGCCTGACCCTTTGTAGTTGTTTGACCCTTAGCCTCAACTGACTCTTAGATTCGTCTGATCCTTCGGACTCAAATAACCCTTAGACCCATCTGACCCTTAAACTCAACTAACACTTGGACGCAAGTGACCTTTAAACAGAACTGAAGCTTTTGCGTATCTGACTCTTACTCAACAGACCCTCCAATTCGCATTGACCTGACCCTTAAACTCAACTATCACTGAGACGCATCTAGCCTTTAAACGCAACTCAGACTTCTACTTATCTGACCCATACTCAACTGACCCTTATATTCACCTGACCCTTCGTACCCTTTTGACCCTCAGATTCGTGAGATCTGAGATCGTCGAACTCGGGTGACCCTTATATCCATCTAGCCCTATGCTGAATGTTTTGCGCTTATTGATAAGAAAAACCATCTGGCCCTCATACTCATCTGACCCTTAGATTCATTTGACCCTTAAACTCAACTGAGCCTTTTACTTATCTGACCCTTACTGAACTGACCCTTACCCTGACCCTTTTCGCCTGACCCTTCGTACTCTTTTGACCCTTAGGTTCAACTGACCCTTAGATTCGCGTGCTCCTTCAGACTCAACTAACTCTTACACTTATCTTAACGTAACTTTTACACTTATCGGATCTTTACACTCACTGACTTTTATATGAACGGTCCGACCCTGAGATGGACTCTAATTCCCTCTCATCTCCTCCCCCTCCTGCTTCCCCCTTAATTTCCTGTATTACTCTATTGCCTACTTTCTTTCTGTTTTTTCCTATTTTTCTTCTTATTAGTTGCTTATGTAAACCCGAAAAAAATACAACTCGTCATAAACAACTGTACAGCTCAGAAGCATACCGGGATATCCCACGATCACTGAGCTTGAGCAGTAGCGAGTAAAACCAGAAAAAGGATGGGT